ATCATAGCTTGTTCCTGTCTCTACAGAGTACAGTAAAACTTCTTCCTCCAATCATTCAGATTGTGGCCCTCAGACACCTGCGTGATTCCCACTTATCTCACAGAGGAGGCCAGATATAACTTCTGGAATCTCGTTTTGCCTTCAAGCAAGAGTCTTATCATTAATTCCATTACTCTTATCCAAAGAGGCACCTGGCTTAGCACCTCTCTGCCAGCCAATTAAGTCTGTCTGGCTTTCTCTCCCCCACCTTCACGTCATATACATGCCTGAAAGCCCTTCCTGCCCTCTCTTTCCAAAACCCAGGCCCTACCTTTTTTAATTCAAATTTTTTTCATGAGACTCACTTCCTCTCTTAAGCCTGCCTGACTCAACCTCTGTAGTTTCAAGATTGCTAATCACTAAGAAATATTTCATGCTTACCTCAGCCTTTGTCCATCCCCTTCCTCCTCCCTTAGTGACTATGATGTAACACTGTATCTGGCAAACCTGCACCTGTGGGTATCTATGTTCCATGCACGATGTTCCTATGAGTGTATATAGAGCAGGAAGTAAGAACAGGTGATAGATAAAATTCAAAGCAGCTGGTGAAGTGGGAGGACTGAACTAGACCAGACACAGGTCCCATTTGGCTACTTACTACTTGAGTGGCCCACAGCAAGTTACTTAATCTTTTCAAACCTCAGTTTCCTTGCATGTTTGTTATGAAGATTAGAAATAATAATAATTACAGCTACTATTGTTATTTACTGAGCCTGCTACTCAATTCAGTTATTATTCTAAGCACTTTATATAGATTAATCGTAATTTCAACTCAAGCAGCTAAGTAATATCTTCCCTATGACACTGCTGAAGAAATTTAGACACAGATGAAACTCACAGGTTAAATACTTGCCCCCCAAGTCACATAGCTGGTACTCACAAGCCAGGATTTATTACCAGGCAGTCAGCTCCAGAGTCTATGTTCTTAACCACTCTGCTGCTGCCTCCCACATGTGTCCTGAATGTATACACACACCTAGTATTCACAAAGCTCCCATCCCAGTGCCTGGCACAAGAATAATAAGTTGAGTAAGTCCTTACTCATTAGGACTATAAGTACACCAGGCCAGGGAAATTGTCTCTTTTCCTCTTTAACTTGTTACAAGTTCGGAAAGGACAAAGTCTACACTGAACACTTTACATACATTTCCAGGGTCTGAGAGAGGTATATAAGAAATATAAATATTTAGGGGCTGGGGTTGTAGCTCAGCGGTAGAGCACTCGCCTAGCACATGTGAGGCCCTGAGTTTGATCCTCAGCACCACATAAAGATAAATAAATAAAGGTATTGTGTCCAACTACAACTAAAAAGTGAATATATATATATATATATATATATATATATATATATATATATATCCAGCACGTGTGGGCCCTGGGTTCGATCCTCAGCACCACATAAAAAATACATGAATAAAATAAAGGTTTTATGTCCAACTACAACTAAAAAAAATTAAAAAAAAAAGATTCTATTAGGAAACCCTCCTGCATTGGTCAAGGCCTCATGAATGTCCTCCTGATCCTTGAATGCCAACCACACACATTGTTGGACCCAGCCATACTAGCCTTCACAATGTGGTATTTTGTTCATCTAATTAATTACCAAGAACTGAGGTCAGCGAGGTGTGATGAGGCAAGCCTATAATTCCAGCAGCTCAGGAGAGTGAGGCAGGAGGACTGCAAGTTCAAAGCCAGCCTCAGGATTTTAGCAAGGCCTTAGGCAATTTAGGAAGACCCTGTCTCAAAATAAAAAAGCAAGAAGGGCTGGGGATGTAATTCAGTGGTAAACTGCCCCTAGGTTTAATCTCTAGAACAACAACCAAAACAAAGCAACAATTTATAGGATGTGACTTATAATTGTTTCTTGAATTTATGGAGCAAATTCCAGTCATTGCATTTCATTTTTAATAACAAATGAGCAAAGTGTCTTATAGATATGATAGGATTGCTGGGCCTGGTGGTGTAGGCCTGTAATCCCAGAGACTTGGAAGGCTGAGCAGGAGGATTGCAAGTCTGAGGCTAGCCATTTAGTGAAACTCTGTCTGAAAATAAAAATAAAAAGGGCTGAGGATGTGGCTCAGTGGTTAAGTGCCCATGAGTTCGATCCCTGATACAAAAAAAAAAAAGAAAAGAAAGAAAGAAAGAAAAGAAAAAAAACTGAGGCAGATATGAGAGAGACTATACCAAGACTTGTCCTCTAGGAAATTTTGATCTGATTGGAGACACTGGTGCATAAACCAAAACTTGTAGTAGGTAAAGGAGCATTTGACAGCACTTGAAAGTCTATCGAATCTGACTGGGGTATTTCAAATTTCCTGTGGTCACTCTTGTTTTAAATCTTAAAGATGAATAGTAGTTAGCTTGACAAGGGAAGGGTACGGAAGAAGAAGAGTCAAGAAGAGGAAACGCCATGGTATAGTGGCCTCTGCCTGTAATCCCAGAGACTTGGGAGTTTGAGGCCAGTGGATCACAACTTTGAGGCCAGACTCAGCAATTTAGAAAGACCCTATCTCAAAATAAGAATTAAAAGGTCTGGGGTATAGCTCAGAGGTAGAGCACCCCAGGTTCCATCCCCAATACCTGGACAAGGAGTAATGACAGGGAAGAAGAGGAAACAGATTAACATATTTGGGCAACTGCAAGAGGTTCTATAAGCTAAGATGAAGGATTTTAACAGGAACAGCTGTAACCTAATTAGTCCATACTAGTTTGAATGGACTGAGAGGTGACTATAGGCAGGTGAGGCATGGCTGGAGGAGTTGGATCAGTGGGGGTGTGCCCTGGAAGGGTGCATCTTTTCTAAGGTCCCTCCCCTCCCTTTGCTTCCTGGCCCTTCCATGAGCAGCTGAGCAGCTCTCCTCCTCTGGGCCTTTCCCCCATGATGCGCTGCCTCATCTTGGGCCCTGAGCAATGGAGTCAACCATCTACGGACTGAGACCTCTGAAACCATGCAACCCAAATAAAGTACCTTCTCTAAGTTGTTCTTGTCAGGTATAGTCAGGTTTAGTCAGGAATGCAAAAGCTGATTAAATCAGTTGGACATGGGGTCAGGGGCTAAATGCCAAAATGCCGGATATGCTGAAAGATTCAAATTCTGTCCTGAACCAGCAGCTCAGGAGGCTGAGGCAGGAGGATTGTGAGTTCAAAGCTAGCATCAGCAAAAGCAAGGCCCTAAGCAACTCAGTGAGACTCTGTCTCTAAATAAAATATTAAAAAGGAGCCAGGCATGGTGGCAAATGCCTGTAATCCCAGCAGCTCAGGAGGCTGACCCAGGATGATGGTGAGTTCAAAGCCAGCCTCAGCAAAAGCAAGGCACTAAGCAACTCAGTGAGACCCTGTCTCTAAATAAAATACAAAATTGGGCTGGGGATGTAGCTCAGTGGTCAACTGCCCCTGAGTTCAATCCCCAGTACCTAAATAAATAAATAAATAAAATTCTGTCCTAGAAACTGTCAAGAGCCACTGAGGGCTAGGCAGATATGTGACACTGAATCTCCATTTCAAAAAGAATGTTCAAGCAGCACAAAGGATGAACTGATGATAGAGGGTACAGGGCAGAGATGGTAAAGGACAAAAAGACTCAACAGTTCTAGTGGCAGCAGGAATGGAGAAAGTAAGTATTCAAAAGAGATTAAGAAATGGGGAGGGGGGAGGATTGTGGCTCAGTGGTAGAGCACTTGCCAGCATGTGTGAGGCACTGGGTTGGATGCCCGGCACAACATAAAAGCAAACAAATAAAATAAAGGTATTGTGTCCATCTACAACCAAAAAATATATATATATATTAAAAAAAAAAAAGAAATGGGGGAAGGAATAGTATTATTGTTTACCATAGGAAACATGAAGCCAATATCCTGACAAGATACATGGGGAACAATGATACCTTTTGACTTCTAGAGTTTGAGATACCTCTGCGGCACCCAGGTGATATCCAATAGGCTTTTGAAAATGTATGTATACATATATATGAATACATTTATTATTAAGGTTCATAAGACATCTGGGCTGGAGATAAAAATTTGGGTGTCATCACCTTACAGGTAGTAATTAAAACCATGAAAGTTGATGAAGTCACCCAGAGAAAGTGTAGGGTCAGAAGATCTGTGGGCCAAGTACAGAGCTCTGGGGAACTCTAACTTTATCCCTCGTTGAACAAGACTTGGATGTGTTAACCCTGGAACAATGTGTGCAATGAAAAACACTGAGAGGGGCTGGAGATGTGGCTCAAGCGGTAGCGCGCTCGGCTGGCATGCGTGCGGCCCAGGTTCGATCCTCAGCACCACATACAAACAAAGATGTTGTGTCCGCCGAAAACTAAAAAAATATAAATAAATATTAAAAAATTCTCTTGTCTCTCTCACTCTCTCTTTTAAAAAAAAAAAGAAAAAAGAAAAACACTGAGAACCAGATATCGCCAACATTTCAAAAAAACTGAACTGATGAAAAGAAAGAGGCAAAAGTAAAGAAGCAGGAAAGGGGCATCAGGCAGAAAGAAGGCAGTGAGTGGTGTCAGTCAGAGGACAGGGAAGATACGGGCAGGAAACTCCATCCGTTAGATCTGACAATTGGGAGGTGGCCGGTGTAGCCACAGTAATTACGGTCAGTGGAGTTGTAAGGGTGTGGGTTTCCGGTTGTTGGAGAAACCTCTTCAACCAGACATAAGTTTGGGTCGCTAACTGGAATAGCCGTCCCAACACACTTGACACATATGCTGTGGCCGCGCGTGCGCACTCTTACACCCCAGGGCCCTCAGAGGAGCCTCACGATCTGGCCTTCTCCACCACGGGCCCCCACCCGGTCCTGTAGAGGGCGCTGCGCCTTAGTGAGCCGCGGAGTGACGCCGCTCTAGCCACCCTACTGGCTCGGTGGCCAGCGCCGCAGCTCCGGGTCCCCAGCGTCTCCTCCCAGCGCAGGTGGGTCCGCCCGCAGGGGGCGGGGGTGCCTGGGAGCCGTGGGGGCAGGCGTGCAGTCGTCCCTAGTGCTCAGGTGCCACGACTTGGGCTGCGGCCCCGGTGGATCGGGCTGTGGAAAGGGCTGCGCGGGTGGAGATCCCAGTCCTGGTGAGCTCCTCCTGGACGCACAGTGCTTGCCCAGGTCCTTTACCACCCTGAGGGTCTCCGCCCAATCCCGCGTGCAGCTTCCGGCGGACACCTGAGGGCGGAGCTATTGGGGGCGGGGACCCGTGATTGACACCTCTCTCCCCAGACTTCGGTGCTACCCCTGGACCCCTCCCCTGCCCTGAACGCTGAGCCGGCACCATGGTGAGAACCCTGAGCCCAGCCCCTCACCTCTTCAGGCCCACGCCCTCGTCCCGTGAGACTCTGCTTCCTTTGCCCCATAGGAACTTTGGACTCTCCATTAGGGGGTTCTATTGGGTCGGCCCCTGCAAGGCAACCTGCATTCTTCCAACCTTCCCTTCCCTGTAGCACGGGCGCCTGAAGGTGAAGACGTCAGAAGAGCAGGCGGAGGCCAAAAGGCTAGAGAGGGAGCAAAAGCTGAAACTCTACCAGTCAGCCACCCAAGCTGTCTTCCAGAAGGTGGGGTTCTCAGAGATGGCTCCGACTCCAGGAGGCCCCTTAGCATTCACAGAGGCCAAGAGCTGGGCTTTAGAGCCAAACTGCCTGGATCCAAATCTAGGTTCTATCGCTTACAGTGTGACCTTGGGCAAGTTTGCTGAATCTCTTTGGGCCTCAATTTACTCATCTGTAAAGTGGAGCTAATAATTGCACCCACTGCACAAGAATAGTTGTGTAGATTAAATGAGAGAATACCTGCAAAGCTTTTTGCATAGTACCTGTTGTATAGTGTGGGATTTACAGAATATTTTGTAGTTTCAAGTTATATCATTTAGCCCTGTGGTTGGAGAACCTCTGACCCTGAAACATGTCTTCTCAGCGCCAGGCTGGAGAGCTAGATGAGTCAGTACTGGAACTGACAAGCCAGATTCTGGGAGCCAATCCTGACTTTGCTACCCTCTGGAATTGTCGACGAGAGGTGTTCCAGCAGCTGGAGACCCAGAAGTATGTCAGGGCTCAAAGTCCCATGAAGATTTCCCTAACCCTGACCTTTTCCTGCCTGGGTCAGGGGTTGGAGGAGGAGTGGGGCAGTGGTGTGTTTAGAGATGGGGGAAGGGAGTGGAAGCAGAAAGTGAGGGTTAAGCTGAGATTGGGTGTTAGAGGGCCCTGATTTTCCTTTCCCTCCGTATGTAGGTCCCCCGAGGAGTTGGCTGCTCTGGTGAAGGCAGAACTGGGCTTCCTGGAGAGCTGCCTACGTGTGAACCCTAAGTCCTATGGCACCTGGCACCACCGCTGCTGGCTGCTAGGCCGCCTGCCTGAGCCCAACTGGGCCCGGGAACTGGAATTATGTGCCCGCTTTCTTGAAGTCGATGAACGGAACTGTAAGTGCAAAAGATTCTGTTCCCACAACCCTCACATCCTGGTATTGGAGCCTCAGTAAGGCCCATGGTGGAGTGGGAAGTTGCTGGTGGTAAAAAGGGTGATGGAGTCAAATGCATCCTCAGTGGAATCCATCAAGGTGTTTCTAGGGGTCTCTGACGGAACTCTGGAGGTACCAGTGAGATAACTACTCTTTACCCTGCTCCTGAGATATGCTGTCACTACCATCCCCTCTAGTTCACTGCTGGGATTATCGGCGGTTTGTGGCTGCACAGGCAGCTGTGCCCCCTGCAGAGGAGCTAGCCTTCACTGACAGCCTCATCACCCGAAACTTCTCCAACTACTCCTCCTGGCATTACCGTTCTTGCCTCTTGCCCCAGCTGCACCCCCAGCCAGACTCTGGCCCACGGGGGCGCCTCCCTGAAGATGTGCTGCTCAAAGGTAAGCAAGGCCAGGGGATTCTGGCAAGTATTCTGCAGTGCTACCCTTCCAGCCCTGATGCCTGCCTGGCCCTATTCCTGTACCTTAGTAAACTTGGGTGATTGAGGACCTACTTCATGCCTGTCTTTGGAGATGCATAACACTTAGTCCCTGGCTGTAAGGAGCTCAGGTGTCCAATGGGGAAAATAAAACTGACATGTGAAGCCCCATGGATGGCCAAGGCATATATGAGACAGGACTGGAGATGTTTCAAGATGTGTGTGGGTTGGTGCGGTGGCCAGGAGCCCACCAGCATACTCACAGCTCCATGCCTCTCTGGCCCCACAGAGCTGGAGCTGGTGCAGAATGCCTTCTTCACTGACCCCAATGACCAGAGTGCTTGGTTCTATCACCGCTGGCTTCTGGGCCGAGGTGAGCAATGGGGGAAGAGACTGAGTGTTTGGGTTTGGAAGGAATGGAATAAGATTATGGAGACCTGAAGCTGTCTCTCCCCAGCTGACCCCCAGGATGCGCTGCACTGCCTGCATGTGAGCCGAGATGAGGCCTGCCTGACTGTGTCCTTCTCTCGGCCCCTCCTAGTGAGTCTTGTGACTTTTGCTGGAGAATATCGAGGGATTATGAGCCTGGTGCTGTTGGGGCTGATGGGTCTTTTTTTTGTCCCTTGTGCCAGGTAGGCTCCAGTACAGAGACCTTGCTACTCATGGTTGATGAGTCACCCCTGATTGTGGAGTGGAGGACCCCAGATGGCAGAAACCGACCCAGCCACGTCTGGGTATCCCAGGATTGGTGGGGAAGAAATGAGGACTTGGGAGACAGCTGGGTGGGATAATCTGAAAAGTGGTAAGGCTAGGGCATTTCCTTGACCCAATGCTCCCAGCTCTGTGACCTGCCCACTGCCTCCCTCAATGACCAGTTGCCCCAACATACATTTCGTGTCATTTGGACAGCAGGCGATGCTCAGAAGGAGTGTGTGCTTTTAAAAGGTAACGCAACCTGCACCCCTGCCCCTTTCAGCAGTCCTCACCCCTCTCCCCCTCTCATGGGTATCTTCTGCTAACTCCCCTTTCCCTCAGGCCGCCAAGAGGGCTGGTACCGGGACTCAGCCACTGATGAGCAACTGTTTAGGTGATGACCTGAAAGCACACAGATAGGATAGGGGTTCTGGGCTCTGGGCATCAGGCTGTTGGGGGCAAAAGTCTTGGGCCTGGGGGAGATGTTCTCAGACTGAATGCTGGGGATGACCCGTATCCCAGGACTATGGGTATCATCCCTTTCCCACCCTGCCCTCCCTCAGGTGTGAGCTGTCAGTGGAGAAGTCCACAGTGCTACAATCTGAGCTCAAATCCTGTAAGGAGCTGCAGGAGCTGGAGCCTGAGAATAAATGTGAGGCACATTCCCTGAGAGTCTGTTCCCCAGAACCCATCTAAGAAAGCCCCCTGGGGAAAGCAGGAATGGTCTCAAGAGGATGGGAACAGAGGAGGATCCAGAGGAACTCCTCCGTTTCTCTGACCTTTCCTCAGGGTGCCTGCTTACCATCATTCTGCTGATGCGGGCACTGGACCCCCTCTTGTATGAGAAGGAGACACTGCAGTACTTCCAAACCCTCAAGGCAAGTTGGGCCTGGGGGAACTGGCCAGGGGAAGACCAGTAGGCAGGAGGAAAGCAGCTGACTTACTTACCTGCCTGCTGCATTCCCACCAGGCTGTAGACCCTATGCGAGCAGCCTACCTGGACGACCTGCGCAGCAAATTCTTGCTAGAGAACAGTGTGCTCAAGATGGAGTATGCCGATGTACGCGTGCTACACCTGGCTCACAAGGTATGTGCTGCTGTATGTGCCCTCTGCTAGGCCCCTACCCACTGGCCTTACCATATTCTGGATATATCTTCCCTACCCAGATTGAATCCATCATCCTTCTAGCCTTTTCCTTGAGTCCATGCTTTCTGTCACTTGGCCTATTTTCTTCACACCTCCCAGTTTCAAATCCTGAGTTACCAGGGCCTCTTGCTGCTCCTTCCACCAGACTGGTCATATCATTCTGCCTCCAGAGTGACCCTTGACCCACCCTGCTATGTATCCCGTGCTTCTCACCCTGAAGCAGACCCTAGAACATAAAAGTTCAAATCGTTTCTAGGCTCCACTTTCCCTTTTCTAGTCCTTACCAGTCTTCCTATAACATCCCTGAAGCCTACCTCTCCTCTTGACAAGCCCTTCTTGCTGACTCAGCAGTCACCCTGGCACCCTCACTGTCCTCTGTCCCTTCCACACTTTAGTCTTCCTCTTCTATTCACTCCCACTGGTCACCCCACCCTTAGTACTCACTGTCTGTTGTATGTCCCACCGGCTGCAAGGCAACCTTCCCACATGCTATCATCCTCTCCTCAGCAACTTCCCCAGGGGCCTGTATAGGGCACAGAGGGCAAGAAGCTGAGGACCCTCCCCCCAGTCTTGCTGGGTATCTCATACCTTTCACACTCCTAGGATCTGACAGTGCTCTGCCATCTGGAACAGCTGCTTTTGGTTACCCATCTTGACCTGTCACATAATCGTCTCCGAACCCTGCCCCCTGCCCTGGCTGCTCTGCGTTGCCTTGAGGTAAAACATTCATTCTTCCCTTGCTATTCTGTGTGGTCCTTTTTCCATTCCTCCAACTCAGAAGTCTGCCTGTGCTACAGAGATGTCCAGGACCTTCCCGTCCCTACAGGTGACCAGTTGCCCTCCCCCAGTCTATCACCCAGCCTGACCTCATGAACCCTTCCATGTACTGTAAGCTGATCACCCTGGGCTCTTGTATTGCTTGTGCAAGCCCCAGGCTGACAACTGCCCACTCAATCTTGTGCCTTCCTGCTCCCCAGGTGCTGCAGGCAAACGATAACGCCATAGAGTCCCTGGATGGCATTACCAACTTGCCCCGGCTGCAGGAACTTTTACTGTGCAACAACCGTATCCTTTTGGCTCCCTTGCTGATAGTGTAGAGTAAGGAGGACACTGTGGAGGGACAGACCGCAGACATAGACAGAGTACCAGACTGAGACGGGCGGGAGACAGAGGCTCTGGCAGTGTGAGCTGAGGGGAGATGATAGCCTGGGGTTGTCTGGAGCTATCATTAACTTGCATCAGTGGAGTTTTGTAGAGGGTAAGTGACTTCCTCAAACCAGAGTTCACAAACGGGCAACCTGAAGGTGGTTCCTGGGGACCACACAGTGTTATAAAAACCAGGAAATTGCATATTTTTTAAAAAATCTAAGACTGACTCCTCTTTTAAAAATTGGAAGTTAGAGCAACCTTTGACCTTATTTCCACTTGGCAGCACTTGGTCATTGCTGAACAGTGAATGCCTCTTTGTATCAGGTTAGTTTTCTTCTTTGCCATAGTCTCCACCACTGCTCTGGAACCACCCCCAGCCAGCTTCATGTGCTTCCTGCCCAGCCACTATGGGCAGGTGTTTGCAGCCCTGCCTTGAGCCTTACTCCCTCCAAGGGACATTCCCATCAAACAGGCTTCCAGGCAGCAGTTGCCAGCTCTCAAGGGTGCCAAGTAGTAGACAGATCTGGGGAAACCTGCTGAACTTTCCTTGACTCTCCACCCAAGGCCTCCAGCAACCTGCAGCACTCCAGCCTCTTGCCTCCTGCCCCAGGCTAGTCCTTCTCAACTTGGAGGGCAACCCACTATGCGAAGAGGGGGGTGTCTTGGAGCACCTGGCTGAATTGCTGCCTTCAGTTAGCAGCATCCTCACCTAAGAGGCCCTGCCCTACACCTTTGCCCTTTAACTTATTGGGACTGAATAAAGAATGGAGAGGCCCCTTCAGGCTGCTGAGCTGCTGTCACTGCCGCTTCTGTGTTACTACTATCATTACTACTGCCACATATTCTGGAAAAAGAAAAGGAAGAGACTTGGGGTGTGTCTGCTTTCATTTAATGATCTACACTGTTATTCCCTGTTACAGAGAAGCAAAACCAGTGTTGGGCACAGAAGACAGGTCTGGATTTAAGCTTATCTTCTGGTTTTGTAATTGGGTTTGGGCCTAGGTTCCAGATTGGGATAGGAACTGGGAAAACCACAAAACAACTGTAAGTCTCTCTAACTGGCTGGGCATGGTGGCACACACCTGTATTCCCAGTTGCTTGGAAGGCTGAGGCAGGAGGATCGTAGTTCAAAGTTAGTCTCAGCAACTTAGTGAGGCCTGAGAAACTTGGCAAGACTCTGTCTCTAATTAAAATATTTTTAAAGGGCTGGGGATGTGGCTCAGTGGTTAAGCACCCCTGAATTCAATCCCTGATACCAAGAGGGAAAAATGTCTCTCTAGCTGGAAGAGAGTTTCCCCCATGACACCTGCCCCTTTCAGATGCTCTCCTCTCTTCCCTGGCTCTCATTCACCTCAACTGAGAAGTCTCCAGTGTTCCATGTTCCAGGAGGAGCAAGTCAGAATTCCCTTTCTCCACCTTGTTGTAGCAATAGTATCGGTCCCCATGAACAGTGTCTCACAGTTGAAAAACCTTTAGAAATACTTGATCCCATTTGATCCTCACAAACTCTCAGGGGTGAGGATGATTATACCCATTTGTACTAATGAGGAAACTGCTGTTAAGACTTGCCCAAAGTTGCTGAGCTCTGAGGTGCTGGAGCCAAAGTCATCTACCAGCCTTGTTTTTTCTATATCAATGAAAAAAGTACATGAAATGGTTGGGCAAAGTCTTGGCCTCAGCTCCCTGAGATACTGAACTGAGTGTCTGTTTCTGTGGTTTTCCCTCTTCCTGTCCCCTACACCTTGTCCAGACTGAAAACCCTGAGGCACCAAGCCTCCAGGAAGGAGGAGAGGGGGAGTGGCTCAGGGTTAGGGCACCCAGTCAAACCTGGCTGGGTAGAGAAAGAGAAAGATTGATTGAAACAAGGGAGAGTGTGACAAAGGCATTTTCCTGGTTCTCTGGGATCTGCCTGGGCCCACATGTGCTCACACACATCAAGCCATACAGGGCCTCACCCCTTCCTGTACCATAAGTGGTATTCAGACAGCCCCACGATGAAGCCCTTTGGCTGACCTGCCTCACACTGCCTAGAATTTTTATTTCCACCAGTGTATGTGCTGAGAGTTAGAAGGTGCCACAGACCCTTGCCAGGTGCTGGGGCTTGCCGTTGGACAAGAAAGTCGGTGTGGGGCTCCCCTCCAGCTGGAGTCTCTGTCCCCAGTTCTCCCTTCCTGATACATCAGCACCCTCTCTTCAAGTCCGTTTCCTTGTCTTTTTTGGCAACCCTGTTTTCATTATCTTCTGTTCAGTGGCTCATAGACAGAGCTGGAACACCAGTGGGTTGAAGAGAAGGGACTCCTAGCTGCTGAGCATGAGAGTAGGACCCAAGGAAAGCCTCCTTGAAGATGCCTAGTGCGTCTGCCTTGAGGTTGTCTCCCTGGCATCTCAGGTGTTTCTCTCAGAGCTAGGGGTGGAGCTAGGAAGCACACAGGTAGGTGCCTGGAGCCGGTTGGTCTGGATTCCCAGGAAGAATTCCAGGATGAAGAAGAGGAAGAATTTTCAACTCCAGCTGACCAGACACTCCTCCCAGGAGAAAAAGGAATATTGTAGCCTGGGGAGGGGGCCTCAGTTTCCATCCAGGCCTGAATGTAAAGGCCTAATCCTCCAGGCTGAGAGGAGAAAATAAGAGATTGTTCCTACTCTGACCCCCAACCCCAGTCCCAAACGGGAGACACAAGATGCTGAAAGGCAGCTCACTCATGCTGGGAACTGTGGAGCAGCTGGAGGAAGGAGAGACATGGGGGGTGGCGGTCAGAAGATCTGGTAAAGCAGGCAGGTCAGGGGCTGGCTGGTGGAGCCAGTCTGAGGGCCTGGCTGTTGATGTCACCAGTCTGCAGCCCAGGATGCTGGAACCTCCCTAGGCAGAATGAATTCCAGGACCAGACCCATGGGCCAGTTTCACAAGGCTGAGCCTGGCCTAGGCTGCAAAAGAGCTTGGCGGCAAGGGTCTGCAGGAGTAGAGGTGGGCATCCTCAGCTTGGGAACATGAGGTCAGCCAGACATGGCTGTGGGTAGAAGGGTCTCCCTGCCCCACCACTCTTTACGCACCCTGTCTGGCAAGAACAATCCTGTTGTGGGGTCCCTCACACCGATAGTCCCACCAAAGTCTTATCTTTTCATTCCAGTCTTGGTCCTGACATACCCGGACCCCGCCCCCTCGCTAGCGTTGTCCTGGTTCCTAGAAAGGGGAAAGGGGTGTGGCCAGTATCCATTTTCCGCCCCTACCTCCCTGAGACAGCCCCCAGAGGCCAGGCCTCCTCCCCCCACCCCACCCCCAGGGATGGAGCAACCACTCTTCCCCTTCTTCCTAGCAGCTCAGCCCCGCCCTCCCTCCCCTCATAAACCACTTACCCCGCCTGCCCCACACCTTCTATTCGCGCGGCGGCGTCCAGCCCGTGCGCCCGTGCCATCAGTCCCGACCTGTTCCCGCCCGGGTCCTGGGACTCAATACTGCCGTCGCCAACATCGCTGCCAGGTGAGGGGCTCCGACAGTCATCGTGGTGCTGAGCCTCAGCGGTCTGCGCTTTCTGGGGGCCACACACGCACAGGTCCAGCCCCAGAAAGGAGGAGTGCCGGCCAGCGGGTACCTGTCCGCTGGGCTGGAGAAGCAGCTTTCGCTGGACCCAGCGCCGGCTCCCGGCACCTCCTGTGTCCTGGCCCTCCCCGCAGCCCCATGTAGGGTTTGCCCCAACGTGAGGAATGCCAAGGACCCCAGGTCCCCCATGCCACCCGCGGGTCTTATGGGGAGCCTTGAGTGGGGAGCTTTCTGCAAAGAAATGGGTTCTAGAGACTGTCAGCGTCGTGGACCTCTAGACTGAGAAGCCAGCAGGTGGAGGGACCAGGCCCAGGGACACTGAGGTGCACTGGTCTGTGGGGATGCGTCTTGAGGCTGTGACAGGTGTTCATTCACGGAACTGTGTCCATTTCCTCAGATGGGCCCTTGAGTGGGTTTTTCCGTTGGGCATCCATCTTTTGGATGTGGTTTGGTGGGTGTGAATAAGGAGATGGGGAAGGCTTTTCTCTGCATTATGGGAAGTTTTCTTGGGGGTGTCTGAATGGAGTTTTGGGGGAGGGTCTCAGATGGGGAATTTCTGGGTCAAAGTCAAATTGTTTCAGTCCTCTGGTTGGGATGACTGAATCATCTCACTGGAGAAGGGTTTCTGAGTGGACTAGCTAGGTACAGCTCTGAGTGAGTGATCAGAGCTTCCCCTGCCTCTTCTTCACAGGCACGATGGATGGTCCTCGCTCAGACGTGGGCCGTTGGGGCGGGAACCCCTTGCAACCCCCTACCACACCTTCTCCAGAGCCAGAGCCAGAGCCAGACAGACGCTCTAGAGGAGGAAGAGCCCGGTCCTTCTGGGCTCGCTGCTGTGGCTGCTGCTCACGCAGGAATAGGGCAGATGATGACTGGGGGCCTGAGCCCTCTGGCTCCAGAAGTCGAGGGTCTAGCTCTCGAGACCGAAGACCTGACTCCCGCGGCAGTGGTATAAACGCAGCTGGAGATGGCACCATCCGAGGTGAGGCCAGCTGTTCATCTTGGCTGAGAGCTGAAAGGCTTTAATGGGACCTGAGACTCATCACTAGGGGCATAAGGGAGTGCTGGGTTCTTTGTGGGGGGCTTCACTGACCCAGATATGTGGCCTTGCAGAGGGCATGCTGGTGGTGACTGGTGTGGATTTGCTGAGCTCACGCTCAGACCAGAACCGCAGAGAGCATCACACAGATGAGTATGAGTATGATGAACTGATTGTGCGCCGTGGGCAGCCTTTCCATGTGGTCCTTTTCCTGAACCGGAGCTATGAGTCCTCTGATCGCATTGCCCTTGAGCTGCTCATTGGTGAGTGTGGCCTGGATGGAAGGGCGAAGGCCCTAGATTTGTTGGAGGAGAGGCTGGTATCAGATCAGAGAGATCTTTAGGCTCCTGCCTATCACCCCTCACCCTGCCAGATAAGGCATATGCAAATGTCTAGGTGATGTATACATGACTTCTTGGGGAGGGTCTTGGTGTTTAAGTTTTCTCTCCTTAGGCCTCCAGGGTATCTGTTTCACAATACTTCCTTTCTGGAGTCAGCCTCAGTGTGCCCTTCTTTCTGGGTCTGCTCTTTCTACAGAGTGTGGTTGGTTCTCCCCACACACACACACACTCACTGTATCTATCTGTATCTCTCAATCTCTCTGTCCAACCCTGACTCTCTCTGTATATCTCTGTCCCATGACCCAGGGCAGGTGCCTCTCTCACCGCGTTGCTTGGTGACCGTTGACTGCCCAGGCTAGTGATTATGCAGCTACCGGGGGCGGGCGACTCTTCTTACCCTTTGATTAGAGCCCAACCTTGCCCACCCAGCCTCTAATTTCCCAGATACCCCTACCACCTCCACCAGGGATGCCCTGGGCTCTGGGAGCTGCAGCTCTGGGGAGCAGGTCGGGCTGGCCTTTGGTATGTGGACTGCCCTTTCCTACAGGATAGGGGGATTTGCATCAGCCAGTGTGGCTCTGCTCCTCCAGCCCAGGCACTGGGATTGTCAGGCAGGAAGAGGGTAACAATAGCCCTGGTCTCCCCTCCCTATCTCTGAGTTCAATGTCAGGGGAACAGGTTTGGGATGTTGGACTGGGGCTCTGCCCTAACTCGCAGGCAATCATCGGGCGGACACAGCTACTCTGAGGGAGATTGTCACAGAATGACCCAACTCAGGGACACTCATATACACACACTGGCTCATAGACATTTTGGGTGGGGCTGGGAGAAGTCTAAGCAAGGTCTTACCAGCTAATTGCTAATTTTCCCATTCTAGGTAACAACCCCGAGGTTGGCAAGGGTACCCACGTGATCATCCCAGTAGGCAAGGGGGGCAGTGGGGGCTGGAAGGCCCAGGTGATGAAGGCCAGTGGGCAGAATCTGAATCTTCGAGTTCACACCTCCCCCAATGCCATCATCGGCAAGTTTCAATTCACTGTCCGCACACGCTCAGAGGCTGGGGAATTCCAGTTACCCTTTGACCCCCACAACGAGATCTACATCCTCTTCAATCCCTGGTGCCCAGGTAAGCCAGTTGGGGATAGAAGCAGAGGTCGGCAGGAGGGAAAGGCAGGCCAGGGCTTCCTTTTCTAGGATCTGAGTGGGTGCCTGGGTACCTGGCCACAGGAAAAGTCAGCCTCCCATTGTCCTGTGGAGGGGAACTACTCCCAGTATAGAAACATGACCTGTCTTACCTCTATTGAGGAAGACCCTGGCTAGGACCAACCTTCTCCTACCATCTGTGTTGTGGTCCTTCTGTCCTTCCTGAGAGCAGTTCTGTCAGGCTAGAGTTATCCTCTGTTCTTCTATGGTCACGAGTTCTACAGACCTGGCCAAGGGGCAGGTAGGGCCCAGAGAGAGAGTATAGGGAATAAAGTATGTGTTTTCTGGGGACACAGAGGACATTGTATATGTGGACCACGAGGACTGGCGGCAGGAGTATGTGCTTAATGAGTCTGGGAGAATTTACTATGGAACTGAAGCACAGATCGGTGAGCGGACCTGGAACTATGGTCAGGTATGACTGGTTAGGGTCACCTGCAATGAGGGGAGGCAGGTGGAAAAGGGTCCTGGCCCAGTGTCAGAATGTCTCCAGAATGATCTGTAGCCAACTCTGCCCTCCCTCCTACCAGTTTGACCACGGGGTGCTGGATGCCTGCCTGTACATCCTGGACCGGCGGGGAATGCCATATGGAGGTCGTGGGGATCCAGTCAGTGTCTCCAGGGTCATCTCTGCCATGGTGAGCACCCTCATATCTCTCAGTCTTACACTGTGTCTTCCTACTGCCTCCTCTGCACCCTGCCCAGGGTCCTACCCTTGCTGGATTCCTTCAGTATCCTCAGGAATGTCCCTGCCTTTGCAAAGGGTATTGCAGGAAGGGGGTCTCACTCTTCTTCTCTCCCTTGCTTGCTCCCACTACACCCTTCCTTGGCTCCTGTCGCAACTCCTGTGTAATGTAGGGCCAAACCCACAACTTGGCACACCCAGGATTCACATTCCTGTGTCAGAACAGGGATAGGAGGGGGTATAGATAGTTCAGGGAAGAGATAGGTGGGGCTCAGGCTAATGTCTAGGTCTTGAGGCATTTAGGGGTGAGGGGTGGTTGCAGGGTCAGGGGCTGGGCTGGGGACCCAGCCAGGTCTTGAGCACCTCCCCCAACTCAGCCCCACCCCATCTTGTCTTGGGCAGGTGAACTCCCTGGATGACAATGGAGTCCTGATTGGGAACTGGTCTGGCGATTACTCTCGAGGCACCAACCCTTCAGCGTGGGTGGGCAGCGTGGAGATCCTGCTTAGCTACCTACGCACTGGCTATTCTGTCCCCTATGGCCAGTGCTGGGTCTTTGCTGGTGTGACCACCACAGGTAGTGAAGGGATCAGGACAGGAGTGACTTGGGTCCTACAAGGAGGAGGGAGGGAAGCTAGTCTCCATCTTCATCTAGCCCAACCCAGTCATGGCTACTACAGCATAGGGTGCAGGCAAAGGTAGATGATAAGCTGCCTTAATTATCATTAATTATGTGAACAACAGAGAGAGGCCTAAGAGAGAGGAAAAAGAAGCAATATGCAGGGCTCGAGCCAGGCAGGTGCCCTGGCTTTCGCTAACCCCGAGTGCTCTATAGCCCAAAGGTTCTTGGGCCCTGTGACCCCTGACCATGGTGGTGAATTTCAGCTTGGCAACCTCAGTTGTCCTTTTCCCCCTGATATTGATGACCTGATGCCTCACCTTCCCCGCTACCCTCTGCCCCAAATTTCAACCCTGGTTCCTCCACAGTATTGCGATGCCTGGGTCTAGCTACCCGCACTGTCACCAACTTCAACTCTGCACATGACACAGACACGTCCCTCACTATGGACATCTACTTTGATGAGAACATGAAGCCACTTGAGCATCTGAACCATGATTCTGTTTGGTGAGGCTGGGGCTGGGGCTTGACCTCCTATATCTGCTGAGGCTGAGATGTGGAGGGGCAGGCAAGGCCTGGAGCTGGGAGCCCTGCATTGGAGTCTCAGACCCAGCCCTTCCTCCACTACCCAGGAATTTCCATGTGTGGAATGACTGCTGGATGAAGAGGCCAGATCTACCCTCAGGATTTGATGGGTGGCAGGTTGTGGATGCCACACCCCAGGAGACCAGCAGTGGTAAGGCAGGCCTTCCCTGGCTCTCAGACCCCATCCTGGTTCCCTCTCTCCCACTCCACCTGGGTGACAAACTCTAAGTGTCAGTTTGGGACTCAGCCTGAGAACCAAGATCTTCAGCCTCAAAGTTCTTTAAATGGGTTTATCAACTGAATCGCCATGCAACTGTTGGTTTATTTTCACCTTTTTATGTAATTATTTATAATGGCTAGTTTTATTTATTTATTTATTTATTTATTTTTAAAAAGAGAGAGAGAGAGAATTTTAATATTTATTTTTTTAGTTATCGGCAGACACAACATCTTTTGTTTGTATGTGGTGCTGAGGATCGAACCCGGGCCGCACGCTTGCCAGGCGAGCACGCTACCGCTTGAGCCACATCCCCAGCCCGCTAGTTTTATTTATAATGGCCTAGTTTTATTTATAATGTCTAATTTTATTTATTTATAATGACTAATATACTCAGATGGCTCAAAAGCCAAAAGATTCAAGAGTTGTCAGTGTGAGGTTTCCCTCCCCAGGCAAGTCCACTATTCTTGCTTGCTTTTCTCACTTACATATCTGGGAGATAGTTAAAAGACCCTTTTATATATAATTTAAATATATATACACACATACATATATAAATATATAAATTCCATATAAATATATATTTTATACAAACATATGAACTGAAATATATAAATATATTTATATGCATATAAACATATATATTTTTTATATATATATTTTTTAAATCCTCTATTGGATTTTTATTTTATTCATTTATTTATTTATTTTTTTTTTTTTTTTTAATATTTATTTTCTAGTTTTCAGCGGACACAACATCTTTGTTTGTATGTGGTGCTGAGGATCGAACTGGGGCCGCACGCATGCCAGTCCAGCGCGCTACCGCTTGAGCCACATCCCCAGCCCCTTATTCATTTATTTTTATGTGGTGCTGAGGAGTGAACCTAGTGCCTCACATGTGCTAGGCAAGTGCTCCACCACTGAACCACAACCCCAGCCCCAGCTGGAGTGGCTGAAACAATGTCCACTATCTATATAAAAATATATATTTTTGAAAATTTCCATGATGATTCTGAAGATCATCTAGGTTTAGGATTCACTCCAATCCCTGTGAGACATGTGGGAAATTGTGGCCCACAGAGATGAAGAACTTTGTCTGGGGCACAGGACACTAGCTCACTAGGAGAGCATATGCAGTCCCCAACTCACTCTCATTGACACATACTCTCACTTTCTCCAAGTTCCTCTCTGTTTGCTCCATTATTCAGTATAAGCTTTATGTACAGGATGAACAAATAAGACTCAGATAGATTCAAAGAAAGCAGCCCCTATAACCCAGTCCTAAGATATAGCCTGGGATCATATAACCTATCAGCCTTTCCTCTGCAAAAATGAGACCTATTGCACAAACAGATCCCCACTCGCTTCCAACCTTGGAATTCCAGCCCTGGAAACCTGGTCTGCCCCTCCAGTTTCTTCCTTCCAGACTCTTGCCTGGGTCAGATAGCCTTTGCCTGGCCTATCTTCTTTCTCTGGTCCCCTCCAAGATCCCTCCCTGTCAATCATCTATGAAAATGGTACCTCCAATGTTTAGCAATACAGTGGTACCCACTATGCTGGAGCCAGAACTCAGGCACTGGCAAACCTGAGTTCTGGCCCTGCCCTGAGAAGTGGTGGGGACTCTGGGGCCAGCCAGGCCAGGGCTTGATTCCTCCTTGATCAGTTCTCAGATAAGTGATCTTGGGCAGGTGAGTGAGAATCTTGCATCTTTGGGCTTCCATGTTTCTGTGTATAATATGGGGATAATATATATCATAGAGGGTAGCTGGGAGGATTCAGTGAGAAATAATGAATCCAAGAGGACTAGCAGCATACCTAGAACATTTGAACACAGTAGCCACTCAGTAAATTATTAGCTCCTTGCAGCTGTCTTATGAGATCCTGGCATCTACTTTACCTTGCTGAGCCTGTTTCCCCATCTGTAAAAGGAGGCCACAGTGTTAGGTGTTGTTAAGATTATTTCCTGTTAGATGCCCTCACTTCCTGTTGGCCTTCTCCTACTGGGCCTCCTGCTGCCAACCCACATCCTCTAGGAAACCCCCTTAAGTATGATAAGGACAGACTCTTTTTTTCCCCCACATGTTCCCCCACTACACCACTTACCAGTAAAGAGCACAGAGGGAACTGCAGAGCTGAGGTGTTGTTCTGGATCTTTCTGGAATGGCGATGGTGGTGTCATCACTTTCCCAGCAGAGTCACCATGGCTCTGGATGGATCCTGATGGAGGATAGGGAGATTGCTCTGTCCTCTGGGCATCACAGATAGTGGGCATTTGTTTCAGCCAGCCCAGAGAGGGTGCTGATGACCTGGCTGTGAAGGCAGGCTGTCCACAGGCTTGCCCCCAACTTCCATCTTCCCACAGAGCAGCCTAGGCTGAGGAATACTGACTGGCTGCTGTCTTCTTTGTTGTCCCTCCCTTGGTTAGACTGAGTGTTCACTGGCCCTGAGTATTTAGTGAGGATTTTTGGCCCCTTCCAGAGGCTACCAGCCGGGGGTACTGGACTTTGCTGGGTGGGGGGCAAAGGAATTGTGTTGTGGCCTCTGCCCAGGGTCTGAGGGTCCCTCTTGGCTTCCTTGGATCCCTCACTTCTGTCCTATCTGATTCCCTAGGCATCTTCTGCTGTGGCCCCTGCTCTGTGGAGTCCATCAAAAATGGCTTAGTCTACATGAAGTACGACACACCCTTCATTTTTGCTGAGGTGAGAGTGAGGTTCCAGGTGCCTCCTCAGGCAGTCCAGAGTGATCAGAGCATTGGCTTCAGTCCTGGATTCTCTGGTCCTGACTTTGCCGTTGACTAACTAGCTGTGTGACCTTGGGCAAGTCACTCATTCTAGAGTCTTAGTTTCCTCAGCTGTAAAAAGGACATAATAATGGCTACCTTACTTCCTGTGCTCAGGATCAAAAGAGATAATGAGTATGAAACTGCTTCCTAAGTTGTAAAGCCAGTGAACAAGTGCAAGGGATTACTGTTATTAATGTCCAAATGTACTGCATGGAGCCTCCCAGGCCAGCTTCTTCCCTACTCTCTAGCCTTGTCTGGCTCAGCTTCGGAAGTCTCCCAGTTGGGCTCTCCCAGGAAGCTTCCACTTTTCAGACTTAACCCTGCCCTGCAGCCCCTGGAACTGATAGAAGGCACTTGGGGTCAGGCCTCCCTTCAGACATTCTGGCTCACTCATTCCTGCTCATGCCCTCACTCTGCAACAGGTGAACAGTGACAAGGTATATTGGCAGCGGCAGGATGATGGCAGCTTTAAGATTGTGTATGTGGAAGAAAAAGCCATCGGCACGCTCATTGTCACAAAGGCCATCGGCTCCAACATGCGGGAGGACATCACCCACATCTATAAGCACCCAGAAGGTACCATTCCCCACAGACAGTCAGCTCCATGCCGAGTGTTCTACTGAGCGCTCACCACCCAGGCCAAAGCTTCATCTCACCCTTGACCCTTAACCCCTAGGATCAGAAGCAGAGCGGAAGGCAGTGGAGACAGCGGCTGCCCATGGCAGCAAACCCAATGTATATGCCACCCGGGACTCTGCTGAGGATGTGGCCATGCAGGTGGAAGCACAGGACGCAGTGATGGGGCAGGACCTGACAGTCTCCGTGGTGCTGACCAATCGTGGCAGTAGCCGCCGCACTGTGAAGCTGCACCTCTACCTCTCTGTCACCTTCTACACTGGTGTCACAGGGTCTACCTTCAAGGAGTCCAAAAAGGAAGTAGCACTGGCACCAGGAGCCTGTAAGTGCTGCTTTCCCAGCCCTGCCCCCTAGATAGCCAAACACCAGGGGCTGTAGACACAGAGACCCAGAGCAAGGGGGTACACCTCTGGGAAGGCCACATCTGGAGAGACACGCCTTAGTGACCCGTGCATACTCTCCCCAGCGGAACGTGTGACCATGCCTGTGGCCTACCAGGAATACCGGCCCCACCTTGTGGACCAAGGGGCCATGCTGCTCAATGTCTCTGGCCATGTCAAGGAGAGTGGGCAGGTCCTGGCCAAGCAGCACACCTTCCGTTTGCGTACCCCAGACCTCTCCCTCACAGTGAGTGCAGTTTTGGGGGGCATGAGGAGTGGTGGCATGGGGTTAAAGGAAACTGAAGGAGAAGAGGGGAGAGTGCTGAGCCAGGAACAGGCTGGCCTAATGAGTCTGTCTAGGAGAAAAATGTTAAGGACCAGCTCTGGTCTCCTGGGCCTCCCTCAGTTTCCTTGTCTATGAAAGGGGAACTCATATCTCTGATTCTGTGGTAGCCTTGGCTATAGAGTGGGTTGGAAGTTTCCTCTCTGACTTTTGGGGAGCCTTCTCTCGGGACAGAAACATAGGACTTATGGGGAAGTTTTGATTCTAAGGGTCTTTTCACTGGGGTGTAGCATATAGACTCTGTGTGTTTGGTCAGGGTCTCTGATATGATATGGGCCTCTGTTTTTCTCAGTTACTGGGAGCAGCGGTAGTTGGTCAGGAGTGTGAAGTACAGATTGTCTTCAAGAACCCACTGCCTGTCACCCTCACCAATGTTGTCTTCCGGCTAGAGGGCTCTGGGTTACAGAGACCCAAGGTCCTCAATGTTGGGTAAGTCTGGCCTCTCCTCCTGGCCCCTGCTGCTGCCCTCCATTTTCCCCAGATTACCCTGAGCCCCAGCTTTGCTTCTTCTCACTATCAGGACCCCACAAAATCCCCTGGGGCCAGCCAGTAATCCCTCCCAACTCCAGTTTAGTCCAGTCCAACCAGTGCTTAAGGAGCTCTGCTGGGTGCTTTGTGCAGCACTCCAGGGGCCTGACCAGCTCATCAGGGAGCTAAAACTCCACATGGGAATCATTAGTAAGCCATGGCTAACATCTGCCCAGCACTGAAAAGTTGGTCAGGCACTTGCAGGGATATTATCTTATTTGGAGATCAGGAAAGCTCCTTAAAGTAATTAGAGGATTGTCACATGACTACAAGCAAAGCTGCAGAAACCTAAAGACTTGGGTTCAGGTCAGCTCCATTACTTCTGACTAGATAGCCACGGGCAGGTGATAGCTCTTCTAAGCCTCAGTATTCTTGCCTATCAAGTGGGGCTGCCAGTAGCACTTCGTCCTTGGGTTGTTTAGTCTCACATGTGGCACAAACTTACTGCTCTGCATCTAGTCATTTCTATTTTTTGCCATCTTCATCCCTGCTTTATAGACAGGGACACTAGTGGCCATGGCTCACAGGGGACAGACTCTGCTCTCTCCTTTGGAGCATATACCACCCCAAGCTCTTGAGCTTGCTGCCTGGTTTGTGCCATAAGAGTGGAGTAGCAGCTCCAAGGGATAGAGCCGCATGCCTCAGGCCCTCACCCAGGCTGAGACCGATCCTGACTGCATGAGGCTTTGGGCCTAGGGAGGGTACACACAGTACTTGTGTTCTTTGACCTCTGTGTTTATCATCTCTGACACAGACACACGCTGCCCTGCCTCTCCCCAGGAAAAGCACAGAGGGAAAGCAGAGAAGGCCAGAAGCTGACCTTTTAGACTGGCTTTCTGGCGACAGGGACAAGTGTTCCCCTTTTTAGAAAGAGGGCTCCTGAGTGCTTTGAGAGGGCCTGGAGTGAAGCAGGGCATCCCTGCCCACTCTGCCCACCTTTTCCCCTGCTTTCCTCCCCTGCTTTCACCATCAGGCCAACAACAGGAAGGTTGCTACCCTGATCTTTGTCTCAGCCAGGCTCCTGGGAATGCCGTGATACATCAAAAATTAGTATTGTCCTCTTGCCACCCTACCAGGGTTCCTAACAGCTCAGACAGTGAAGCTTGACACCTGCCTTGCTAGTCCTCCCTGAGACATCTCTCACCCAGACTCACACAGTGATGGAGGGAGTCTCCCCCTGTCCTGAGGCTCTCCAGAGCCAGATATCCCTCAGCAGCCCTACCAGACCTTTGACCCATGCCTGCAAGTAAGGAAAGCACCATTCTGCAGAGTAACAGGAGACCTAGCCCCTGTCCCCAGCTGCAGGGCTTGTGTACAACTCCCCACCATTTGAGGGCCCAGCCTGCCAATAGTTAGATGATAGCTTCTCAAGGCAGGCCCTCCAAGGATTTTCTGTGGCACTTTGGTCGCTGTGAATCCAGAACAGGGCCTCTAGGACTTTGGGGAGCCTTTAGGGAACATCCCTGAGCTGTTGGTTCAGATACATTAGATTCCATGACGGGTGTTATTTTACCTCTCATTTGCACATCAAAGGTATGGAACCCCATTATACCAGAAGGCATGCCGCCCAGAATGGTGACTAGCCACTTAATAAACATTCCAGGACTTCCTCCTCCAGTTGACTGTTGTCACCATCAAAACAGTCACAGGGAGGCTGGAAGTCTGTTCCAAGCCCTTTTTGGGGATTTCCCCCAGAGTCTGAATCACAGTCTCTAGCACATCCTTAAGAGTGGCCAATTTTGGGGCTGGAGTATTAGCTCAGTAGTACAGCACTTGCCTAGCACTTGTGAGGCACTGGGTTTTATCCTCAGCACCACATAAAAATAAATAAAGGAATTGTGTCCATATACAACTTAAAAAATATTTTAAAAAAAGAGTGGCCAATTTCCCTTCTTGGGGAGTAGATTAGACTTTGGGGAAAAGCCTGAAGTCATTTAGAGACTAATAAGGTAACAAACAAGGGGGTAAAGATGCCCTTTCATTCCAAAATGAAGTACTTAGAAAAGGAGGGGCAGGCTGACTGCATGTGTGCATGCGCACATGTGTGTGTTTTATTTATTTATTTTTTATATATTTTATTTTTCAGTTGTAGTTGGACACAATACCTTTATTTTATTTATTTTTATACGGTGCTGAGGATCGAAGCCAGGGCCTTGCACGTGCTAGGCAAGTGCTCTACCACTGAGCCACAACCCCAGTCCCCCCACCCCATGTGTGTGTTTTAAATGGCTCTAAACAAAAGTCCAAGAAAAGTTTTTAAAAGTGTTTCAACCTCTGGCAACATGGTTGGCTGGGTATACACTGAAGGACAGCCCTCTCCAAAATCTCCTTCTAGTGCCCTTGTTTGGGAGTCAGTCTCATTAGGTCTCATTACCCACACGCAGTTACCAGCACATTCCAGCTTTAGCATCTGACTTGTACTCAGCTTAAACTCAAAAACAGGGGTGTGGCAGAGGCCTCACCTGACACCAAGACCAGGGCAGGGAGGAACTTTGACATTCCCAGAGGAAGCTGGAAGGCAGCTTCTTTTGGAAATAATGCTAGTAAG